CGAAGGGTCTCGACGTCTTGTAACCCTAAGAAAAAATATTATCGCAACAGTAAAGACTTGCCTATTGTGTGCTTTCAGATCTCACTTGGACACGATGCTTTAAGCTTAGGTAAGTGAGTGTGTGCTGTTGTGTTTCGGCCACGCACGCGACATGCTATGCGGATAGCTGTGTACTACGACCGCTGTCATTTCCGCGTGGAATTCTGAATTTCTATCAGCTTGATTTAATAACCATCGTGTCTTCTGTGGGCGGAGTCAGCAGACAGCCTCGCCCCGCGTGAGGTCTCGAGAAAAATCGTTGCTGTCTGGAAATTGTAATGGTAATGGTCCGGGTGAAAATAGCGATGATGATAAATACTATTACGGCTGTGATGATCGCCATGATCACTTTTAGAATAATAATAATTATAATAGTAATAATTATATATTATATATATATATAAATATATTATTATTATTATTATTTATTATTAAGTTATTATTATTATTAGTTAATTGAGTAGTAGTAGTAGTAGTAGTAGCTAGTTAAGTAGTGGTAGTAGTGGGGTTGGTAGTGGTTGGTGTGGTAATAGTAAGTAGGGGTAGTAGAGTGGTAGTAGTAAGTAGTAGTAGTAGTAGTAGTAGCTAGTAGCTAGTAGTAGTAGTAGATAGTAGTAGTGGTAGTAGTGGTGGTAGCTGGGGTGGTAGGTAGTAGTAGTAGTAGTAGGTAGTAGTAGTAGTAGTTAGTAGCTAGTTAGTAGTCAGTAGTAGTAGTAGGTGTGGTAGTAGTGGTGGTGAGTGGTGGTAGTCAGCTAGTATGTAGTAGCTGGTAGATAGTAGTAGTAGCTAGTGTAGTCAGTAGTAGTAAGTAGTAGTAGTAGTAGTTAGTAGTGGTATGAGTAGCAGTAGTAGTAGTAGTAGTAGTAAATGGGACTGGTGAGAACGCAAGGAGATCTATTCTACGTAAAAAGGAGCCGCTGTGAGTGAGAGCAGACGAGCGAACTTGACATTATTGCAGACGCGACCACCAGGGAAGAGAAACTGGAATTCTTCCGCAGGCTGGCTCGGTTGCGCCCTCACGCGGAGACATTCCACGACATGATGAACATGTCGATCAAGCGGTTTCAGGAGGTCGATGACGACCGGGAACCGAGAGCCGAGACTTACAAGTACGTGTAGATTATATATAGACGTTAACAGCAGTAACGACATTAGCAGTCATAAACACGTACGCCTATACCAAGACACATACACACGCACGCACGCACGCACGCACGCACGCATGCACGCACGCACGTACGTACGCACGCACACACAAAATTTCCGCGGAAAGTTTCTCGATGCTGATGCGACATTTTTCCGTAATCACTCAGGGTGGGAAGTATGACTGTAACACGTAATATAACCTAGTGTCATCTAGGGCGCCGATGATATATGTTACATCAGTACATTGTAAGCGCTAATGTCGGCTCCGTTCTCTCTCTCTGCCTGCAGGGTGGTGATCAACGATTTATCCCGCGTGCTGCTGCTGCTCACGAAGAAGTCGAGTATCATGATGCCAGCTGACGGCAACAAGCTGCTGCTGTGGGCAGAGCGAGTGCTGCAGCGCTTCCGCCAGCAAAAGCTCGACAACAATGTAAGAGGTGACACCAAGTGTATGTGTGTGTGTGTGTGTGTGTGTGTGTGTGGTGTGTGTGCGTGCGTGCGTGGCGTGTGTGTGCGTGCGTGCGTGCGTGCGCGCGCGCTGTCGTGTGTATGAGCGTGTGCGTGTGCGTGGTTGTGTTGTGTGCGCGCGCGCGTGTGTGTGTGCATGCGCGGTTTGTGTGTGCGTGCGTGTGTGTTTGTGTGTGTGTGCGCGTGCACGCGCGTGAATGTGTGTGTGCGCGCGCGTGTGGTGTGTGTACGCGCGCGCGTGTCTTGGTGTTATTGTGTGTGTGTTGTTGTGTTGTGTGTGTGTGTGTGTGTGTGTGTGTGTGTGTGTGTGTGTGTGTGTGTGTGTGTGTGTGTGTGTGCGTGCTTCCTTGCGCGGTCTGATGAAGTTAAAGAGACACGCTCTAGCATGTCAATGCCCTCAGGCATTCCCAGCTTTGCACACCGCAGGTAAGCAAGATACATATACGATGTTCTCAGTAGTCAGGCTACTGAGTCAGACAAAGAGTCCCTAAATACTAGATTGTGACACTTCTAGTATAATTATAATTACATAACTCTGTTAATTATGTTATGGGTTTAATTATATATCTCGGGTACCGTAGTGTATACCTCTGTGTCCGTACCGTAGGAATGCAATATACACACGATGGGCTCCGACCAGGGTGAGTCATCCGATGACCACTCGGACCAGTCAGAGAGAGGTCTGCTGAAGGGAGGCCGGAGTAGGCAGCCGATCAAGCGCTGCCAGTCGCAGTCACTGCAGCACGCCGCCACCCGGATACACTCGAAACTGTTGGAGAAATTTGGCAGCACGCCAAATCTGAAGCTGCCAATCGGAATGCCGATCGCCGAGGAGAGCCAATCGGGAGGCAGCTCGGCCGGAAGTTCGCCGCCGCCCCCGCTCCACCAATCACAGACGCGGAGAGGTCGCGTGGTGACGCTGCTGTAAATATAACGGCTGGGTCGTGCCTGGCGGGAGATGCGACGTGTATTTACGTGACCTTTTATTTGACTTCTTTGCCTTTCATCGTGTGTAATTATATCGTATAAACCACCTGACCGCTGCTGTGATTTGTCCCATCTTCATGGGGCGTAGCTAGCGCGGGGGCGGGCTAAGGGGTGGTTGCTCCCAGAAAAATGTAGATATATACATGGTCAATGGCCAAGAGCAAACCGCGCGTAGCTTTGCCCTCTACTCAGGCAAAATGAATTCGCTACATCCCTGGCGTGTCTGTTTGTGCGTGCGTATGTGCGTAGAATAATTGTGCGTTCGTGTGCGTCATTCCCATTCCCTCCCTTCTCTATCTCCCCCGTTCTCTCGTGAGCGTGTTAATCAGTTATCATCGCGATCGTGGGTTAACTGCAATTTGTCTAGGAGGTCAGACTACTTTCATCTCGTGACGAGCAGGTTGTGCTGTTGTTCTTTCCATGTGGAGTAATCTGTGATCATACTCATTCTCACGCATTAAACACACGCAACCTTGCAACATGTGCAGACGCAGCAGTACGTATGGATTGGGATAACTGGTATTTGCTATAACGTACGTCTAAATATTCGGTGTAATGTAAATAACCGTTGTAATATAAACTGTTGCCGCGAAAAGAGATTCATCTACGACGAAAAGCAATTAGTCTTATTAACATATGATACATAACGAACGATTAATTTTCTCATGCTGGCGTGTGTAGGCCTACTTATGAGTTCATGTTTACGTGTGAAATCGTGGTATTCTGTCGGTGAAACTTTACCTTGGAGTTCTTCTACAATATTGAGTCATATTTAAGTGAATGGTTTCGCCACTTGATCAGTTTGTAGAAGAATAGAGAGTTGCGGCCGTATTTGTGGAGATATAGTGAATTGTTACGATTAATTGCTTACGAATAGCCTATTAATGGGCTGTACGCGTGATAAATTACATCACGTATCAGCGTAACCACGAATCTACGTTTAGTGAGTGTATACACACGTTTTACGGTATAACCCCCAACCCTGCTTTTTTATTCTGCACAAATGTTTGATACGTAGTCTCTACTATTAGGCGGGTTCCCAAGTATGCGGTATCACGTTGTACATTTTGCACCAACCGGAAACCGGAACCTAGAGTTGTTGTGAATAGTATACGCACGCCAGTACAACAGCAGTTTGTTTACGGATGATTTGCTGCACACGTTCAAGGTGCGAAAGATATTAATTGCACACTAGAATCACCATTCTCAATAGATTCCGATCACAGGTTTCAAATATTACTTACTTTATGGAACACTAGGTGGCAGCAGTAGCCTTGCGATCCCCGGATTGCTATTTCCATTTATACAAAACGTCGTCGTCGTGATGACAAGAATTAATTACAGATGAACAGACCGACAGACTGATATGAACATAAATTGATAAAGAACATCAAGCGATTATATTCGTTGCATTTCCAATAGATAAACAGAGTTAAAAACACAAAATTTTAATTAATAATAGGTAACAGCATCAGTTATAACAAGCCAAATTGCGTAAAATCTCCGCCAATAATACGATTATCAACATTCAATCAATCTAACGTACGATACACACAAGATACAGACACGAGTTCCCAACATACGCTCCTCACAAACAGACGACAGTACGCAAGAGCACGTAACATTTACACGAGTGAGTGAGTATGAAATTATGCGTGTTACCGGTCAAGATTGTATAATAACAAGAGCCCATTAACCCCTTATATTAAGAGGGGTTAATGGGCTCTTGATAATAACCAGTGACATTTAACGGCAGATCGCGTCAGCTTTAATGATGTTTGTATGTGGTTATATCGAATCAAATAAAGCCGTACTTATTACAGAAGATGTTAGCGCACAGTTACCTTCTGGTAATTCTCTACGTACAGTGTATTATATAACTAGATGTTTACATATCGTGACATCTAACATAGCCGCGTACCATTTTAAGCACAGCAATGCCAGAAGTAATAGGAGAGGAGCAAGTGGAAGCACATTGCGGTAAGCAATACATGTAAGAACAGTGGAACATCTGTAACATCACATTGAAGATTAACATCGCGCTAATTCCAGTTCATGCTCATGCCAAAATTAGCGGGCCAATTAATACACAGAACATCAGCACCTTTTATATTTGACTCTACGTCGCAGCTGTGGTGTGACGTGACCTATAGACCTAAATCACCATGCTATGGCATGCTGCTAGTGCGATTAATTATTAGAAGCAATTAATCACATAAACATTAATCACAGGCGTTTAGATTTTTTTATACATCTACCGTTGATACTCCTCGTCCTACTACAATGATGAGCTTTTCTTCTCATCCACCTTCCTCCAGGTGGGGACAACTTCTATAATGCCCTCAGCCGATGGTAACGGTTTACCCTCCAGGAAACTGACAACAAGTGGCGCCACCTTGTCAGCATTATTCATGTGGAAGTGATGAGGTCCCTTGAAATCTCTCACCTCAAACTAAAGATGCACAGAATGTAATTAGCATGTTCATTCCACGAATATTGGTGATACAGGCCGAAAAAACACTACACACACAAACAAACGAAAACGTGAATTAAACGCACAGAAAACACAACTATGATAATATGTAATAATAATAATAATAATAATAATATAAAAAAATACAAGTAAAAATGCTATATAAGCCAATGATATATAAAGTATTAGAAAACATTCATATTAATTAGTGATGCAAATACTTTAAAAAATTCTCATCACGATAAAATAATATTGATCGGAATGTAGTTTCCCAGATGGAAATCATCTACTATGCACTGGGCTCATTATATGATTGCACTGGGCTCTCAATTAACAGAGTATTTACCCTGGGCAAATTCCTTTCGTATATTTGGAAGAAGACGTCTCTGTGGGCGTTCAGCACTTGTTTATAGGGAGTCTCCGTAGCTCTAAAATACACGACGCGGTTATGAGAGAATACACGAAAACATGTCGTCTATTGTCTGTAATAAAAGGAGTAACAGCAACAGCAAAATTTAACAGTGTAACAAAAACGATGGAAAGAACGTCAACAGCAACAAAAATAAGCCGATGAGGAAAAAAAAGAAGACGAAGAAGAAGAAACGAAGAAGAAGAAGACGAGGAGGAAGAAGAAGAAGAAGAACAACAACATTGTTAAATTGATAGGTAACATGAGACCAAATTGTACATAGAGAGAATACGGCAGACATATGGGCAGAGCGACATTACAAAAAGATTGTTTTGGAATTATTCGGGTTAAAGACAGATAAAGTGTCAAGGTCAAGATGATCTGCATGTATGTCTCTATTGTTACAGTTCTGCTGCAACCGGTCATTATATATAATAACTGACTATAAAGTTAGATTAACACCCTTCATCTGACATTGATTATAATTAGTTACGAGCACAAAGACCAGAGAGCGTTATTAGTGTAGATGGAATTATATTAAGTAATGAGTTAATTATATTAGCATGACTTGTGTAACGAAATTTGAATTCCTGTTATTATGATTATTTTCTATTATCTACGATCACCTAAGCTAAATCCCTTATATAATTTACTAACAATTTAATTATTTTCGAATACGTTATGCATTAACAAATGGTGTCTCGTAATGCTTCTATTTAGATTAAAAAACGACACGAATAAGATTTAAGCATCAGCGATTACAGATTGTGTCACGAACTCAGCACAAAGCTTTTGATAGACTTGAGATTTGGGTCATCGTTCGATTCCTGTAGTAGATCCCAGTTTCCGCTGTCAGAAACGTCATAAATCATGATATAATATAATCATCGTAATACATCATAAGTTTAAAATTTTACAACCTTTGCACGCGAAATGTCGTGCAAAAGTTGTGACAGTATAGACTTATATGATACTGATAGTCCTAATCTAATCATAGCTACTGTACATATTTATGACGTTTCTAACAATAGGGTTCAGTATGCTTTCCCCAACTATGGCAGTGCATCACATCAACCCGTGTCAGCGGGAATGTGTTGTTGTCTATGCTGGTGTGCAGTGGTGACAGGGGAAAACAGGTGTGGGATGAACCAGCTTGTGTTCTTTTTATCACATCATCGTTCTGTTAATTCTTAGAGAAGCACTCTAATCTTCGTTTCAGACCACTAGGTGGCGTAACGGTCTCACGGATTTATAACTTTGGCGATACCGCTAAAACTAATTAGCGACCGCAGCATCTAAACGATAAACGGCAGTTATTCAATAATTAAGTCAAATGTTAATTGCTGCCCTCATATAAGGCATTGTGTTGTAATTCCGCCACGCGCGTTTTTTTGCTTAATCGTGGATTCTACTACGAGCTAACTATCTTCCATTATGCGCGAGAGTACGTGAACGACGCGGATGAGTCATTAAACCGCGTACTAATTAAAATTCGAAATGAGTAAAACATTCGCCTCATTTCATGAGAAGAAGGTACTAAGAGGATTACGGTCGCTAATTTATACAGTAATTTTACGCGTTCAAAGTCGGCGTAGCGCATGAGGGACGGCCTCACAGCATGCTGCAATTTACATATTCAACTACAGCGATTCTGTCTACAGTTAATCCTATACGCGCGCGGCAAAGAACACAGACAGAGAACAGCAAATGTAACTCTCTAACGGTTGCAAGCGAATTAGCTTGAAATTGCATACGAAATAATTGAACGTCGGCAGTCTAAGATTCTGTAGGTTGCTCATCGAACCGCATTAAATTAAATTCTAGCAAACGAGAAGGCATTATGTTATAGAAAATCTGAAAACACACTGTGTGCATTTTGTGGCTAAGGGGTGAAATTCTCCGTAGTGTTTTGAGATGTCGACCACGAAAGCCGGTAGGCGCTAGATCGCTTAATGGAAATCTGCATGTGAGAATCGGCACTGTGCGCCAATGTTTATGCGCAACATTTTCGTGAACACATAATACATAATACAATACATCCTAACATTGCTCACTACAGGTGAACTTAGCAATGACCTCTAACCTCGACCAAGATGTCGATGGTACGAGCCTTTCAGAGAGAGTTTTTGTTTCAGTGATAATCTTAGCATGAACCTACAGCGTGGTTCGAGTGTGCAGAGAGATTGTGTAGAGGCAAGAGTAGCCCCCCACATGATGTACGTGACGCAATAGACTGGAGGGCAAAACTGGGCGGCAATGACAGCTTTAATGACATCATCACGCTATACGCACCGACGCAATGAAATTGGAGGAGATAGTTGAGATGGCAATGTCTTCATGCTACCTTAAAATTTGTCCTTACGTCTTCAAAACTTGAGATAATTTTTATATGACCGGCAGTCGACAGTTAGAAACGTACAGACATCAGACATAAAAACGCCTTAATAGGATTCCGGTATCGTATTATCAAGAGTCGTTCATGCGGCCTTGGAATTACGTTTTTTTATCTGAACGCAAGCTTTTGAGAAGTTTAGTATCAAGCTAGACTTCGCTTTTAAACAACGACATATAACAACAACAATAACGATAATAATAATAATAATAATAATAATAATAATAATAAAAATAATATTTTTTGTGTCTGTCTCGGTTGAATTATCAGTGTCCCTGTGTCTTATACCACACACACGCACGCGCACGCACTCTCGCTCGCAAGCACGCACGCACTCTCGCACGCACGCGCGCACACACGCGCACGACAAAAATAAACGTCGAAATATCAGAGCTTTCGCAGTAAATTACGACAGAATTTCGTAACATGAGTGACAGGTCTAGACGATATCATATGGCCATCAAAGTAAATTCGCGGAACTTTCTATTTATTAAAAGAAAGAATATATAGGGTTCCCAACTTAATTGTCTTCTGAAAATCACATTACATCGTAAAGTATTTGCTTCCAATCCATCCGATGTTATTAAGATTTTGTTGCAGACTACACAGTGTAATGCATTTTCTCGTTCGTGCGCATGTGTGAAACTGTGTGCATGCGTGCGTGTGTGTACGCGTGCGAGTATGTGCGCGTGTGTGCGCCGTGTAACCTGGGGCATGCGTGTGCGCCTGGCCCCGGTTGTGCGCGCGTCGCGAAAGTAGGTTGTCGCGCGCGTGATACACGTATTTCTCGTGTTGGGTGGTGGGTGTGTGTGTGTTGTGTGTGTGTGTGCTGTGTGTGTGTGTGTGTGTGCGTGTGCGGTGTGCTGTGTGGTTGTGCGCGTGTGCGTGTGCGATTGTGAGTGCGTGCGTGCGTGCGAGCGTTTGTAAACGTTCTCTACTTACTAATTACAAATTCATGGATACATGCAACAGATTTATTGCCTGTGAAATGACATACGTTTGGTCTATCAAATGAATGCAATGGTATGAGTGTGTTTGTGTGTGTGTGTGTGGTGTTGCTGTGCGCGGCAGCCGCGCGCGCAGCGCGCGCGCGGTGTGTGTGCGGTGTGTGTGGTGTGTGTGCTGTTGTGTGTGGTGTGTTGTGTGTGTGTGCTGTGCGCGCGCCAGCGCGCGTGGATGCTAACTGTGTGTGTGTGTGCGGTACGTGCGTGGCCGCTCGTGTGCGCACCGTGCTGCGTGTGCGGTGTGCCGCGTGCGAGTATGTGTGCGTGCATGTGTTTGCGCGCGTGCATACACGTGTACGTTGTGTGCGTGTAAGATCGTGAGCGACGTAATAACGCGTATAATCGACGCGCATACTATTTTCCATCACAATCAACGCTTCGTTACAAGCGAGGCTTACAGCCAAACGTTCGACCTGCCGGCATGGCGCGTCAGTGCTCGACGACGCACGCAGCATCCGTGCTCGCGAGTTCTCCAGCCTTACTACACTGCTGACAGCCGCAAAGTTCTGCCTGCTCCTGCCCAGGTCCTGAAGGCCAGAACTTGGCG